TATGGGCATAGCATACCTAGTTGTATGCATGTATGGGCATAGCATGCATGGATGTATGCATGTATGGGCGTAGAATGCCTGGCTGTGTGTGTGTATGGGCATGGCATGCCTAGTTGTATGCGTGTATGTGCATAACGTGCCTGGCCGTATGCATGTATGGGGATAGCATGCCAGGCTGATTGTGTGTATGGGGATGGCATGGCTAGCTGTATGTGTGTATGGGCATAGCATGCCTGGCTGCATGTGTGTATGGGCATAGCATACCTAGTTGTATGCATGTATGGGCATAGCATGCATGGCTGTATGCATGTATGGGCATAGAATGTCTGGCTGTTTACTGTCTTATTTACTGTCGTAAGAAATCAATGTGGTCGGCGTGAGTTTTGCCTACTCTCGTTTTTTTATATTTCTGAGTTTCATCCCATGTTCCGCACCAAACCTGAAACCCCAAACGCAATATCCAACACCATAAGTGCATATAAACAAATTTTGTGGTCCACTTTTGAACGTATGTTGTGTTTCTATGATTCACTGGTGTACTGTGCAGGTCGTACAGCACGCGCTGTCTGTTGCAGCCGCAAGACGAAGAACATCTTCCAACACCAATTTCTATTGCTTGTTGGAACATCTTGCAGGGACAGATTTCCGATTGCACGGCGTTACCACTGTTCTCTAATTTGGATATTGGGAACTCCAACTATTAGGCTATTTGCGATGGTGCATGTGTTTGTTTGATTGTTGTTTGCATTTGAGGGGTGTGTATGGGTTTGATAAATACTGTCTGTTTCGGGGTGTGCCTGCTGCTCCTAGTCCCCATGTGCATAGTGCGTGTGGCAGCAAATGTGATAAGGCGTGGATTGTGTCTGCTTCGGATGTGCTGCTTATATGCAAGGTGTTGCAATTTGAGGTTGTCATCGTGCGTGGGGCAACTCTGTTGTCATTGCGCACCCCATCAATCTCTGTTGCAGCATTGACGCATATATGCAAACGTTTCGTTGCACTCACAATCCTATCGTACTTGCATGTTCACTCCATCACTGTATGTATCGACGAGATGTGGTGGCTGGCACGAGGTGTGTTTGGATTGCGTTTGCCCCGAGCGTGCTGCTTATTGGCTAGTTGTTGCAATTAGAGATTGTCATCGTGTTCGGGGCAGTTCCGCTGTCATCGTGCACCCCATCAATCTCTACTGCAACACTATTAATGCCTATATGCACTCGTTTCCTGTCATTTGCAATCCTACAGAATGTTTAATTATACATAATAATTTGTTGAAATGTGTCATGCGGTCTGATTGTTGTCAAACATGTGTAGTTATCATGTTTGTATAGACTGTATAGGGTCACTTTCTAGAGAGTACAACATTTAGGTATATGTTTGTGTACTCTCTCTCTCACATTATTCAATTCTAGGTTTGATATGGTATCACGAGTAGGTTTCGACCCCCCCCCCCCCCCCCCCCCCACCTACCGCTTCCGCTCCTCCCGTCGCGTCTCCTAGCCTCGCCTCGCCCCTCCTGAGCCCAGTCGCGAGCCCTCCCCCTAGTCCCGTCGCGCCCCTTCCAGGGCCTCGTAGCGCCCCTCCAGGCCCCGTCGTGCCCCCCTTCCAGGGCTTCGTAACGCCCCTCCAGGCCCCCGTCGCGCCCCTCCAGGGCTCTGTAGCGCCCCTCCTGGGCCCCGTCGCGCCCCTAGCGCCCCTCCTGGGCCCCGTAGCGCCCCTCCAGGGCCCCGTCGCGCCCCTTCGCGCCCCTCCTGGGCCCCGTAGCGCCCCTCCAGGGCCCCGTCGCGCCCCTTAGCGCCCCTCCTGGGCCCCGTCGCGCTCCTCACAGGCCCCGTAGCGCCCCGTAGCGCCCCTCCTGGGCCTCGTCGCGCCCCTCCTGGGCTTCGTAGCGCCCCTCCTGGTCTTCGTAACGCCCCTCCCAGGCCCCGTCGCGCCCCTCCTGGGCTCCGTAGCGCCCCTACTGGGACCCGTCGCGCCCTCCCTGGGCCCTGTAGCGCCCCTCCTGGGCCCCGTCGTGCCCCTCCCAGGCCCCGTCGCGCCCCTCCTAGGCCCGTAGTGCCCCTCCTGGGCCCGTAGCGCCCCTCCTGGGCCCCCATTGCGCCCCTCCTGGGCCCCTCCGCCCTGCGCCTGTTCCTCCCCGGCCGTCTCCCCCTCTTCCCGTCTACGGCCCTGTGTTCCCTCCGCCGGGCTCGTCCCCGGCTCGTTTTCCCCCTCGTTCCCCACCCGTGTCCCCTCCTCTGTCTCCTGACCCGACGCCGCCCTCTCACGTCTGGTCTCGCCGCCCCTCCCGTGCTCGTCCTGTCTCCCCCGTCCCGCGCACTCACCCTATGTTGCTCCGCTCCCACGCGTCTCGTCCTCCCCTCCTCCCGTCTCCTCCTCCGTCCTCTCTTGTCGTTGCGTCTCCTCCTCTGTCTGACTACTTTCGTGCCGCTCGTCCTCTTGTTCCTCGGGTCCTTGCCTCTCTCGTTACCGACCCGTCTGTTCCAGTGTCGAGTCTTGACGCCCTTGTCGCTGCGGTCGCTGACTTCGCCTCTACCCGCCGCCTTGACTACGCCTCCGCTCTGGTCTCTGACCCTGCCTGTCCTCCGTCTGTCGGGGGTGCTCCTGCCCTCGGCAGTGACGTCCTGGAGGACCGCCAGTTCGAGCTTGCTTTCCTGTCCGAGGCTGCTCCCCATCTCTGTTCCATGCTGCTAGTCCCTGAGGGTGACCCAGACGCTTTTGACATCCCGACCCCTCGTACTTACGCTGAGGCGGTTTCGGGACCTTGGGCCTCTCAGTGGATAGCTGCCATGGAGCAGGAGATGGCATCTTGGAGATCCACCGGCACCTTCGTCGACGCAGTTCCCCCACCTGGGGTGAACGTGGTCGATGGCCGTTGGCTTTTCAAGGTGAAGCGCCCTCCTGGAGAGCCGCCTGTGTTCAAGGCGCGTTACGTGGCTAGAGGCTTCAGTCAGCGCGAGGGGGTGGACTTCTTTCAGACTTTCGCTCCTACCCCGAAGATGACTACTCTTCGGGTTCTGCTACACGTAGCGGCTCAGCGTGACTACGAGCTTCACTCCCTCGACTTCTCCACTGCCTTTCTTCAGGGCAGCCTTCACGAGCAGGTCTACCTGCGTCGTCCTCAGGGCTTTACTGGCACCTTCCCCCCTGGGACCCAGTGGCTTCTGCGGCGCCCAGTCTACGGCCTGCGCCAGGCGCCTCGTGAGTGGCACGACACGCTGCGTGCTACTCTTGCTGACCTGCCGTTCTTTCCGTCCTCTGCAGACCCCTCGCTCTTCGTTCGTGCTGGCTCGACTCCGTTCTACATCCTCGTCTACGTAGACGACCTGGTCTTTGCCACAGCTGACAGGGACGCACTGGCCTCCGTGAAGGCAGAGCTGCTGAAGAGACACACCTGCACTGACCTTGGAGAGCTGCGCCGTTACCTTGGCTTGCAGATCTCTAGGGACAGAGCCGCGCGCACCATCACCCTGACTCAGTCACACTTGGTGCGCCAGGTCCTTCAGAGGTTCGGCCTTCAGTTCTCCTCCGCACAGCCCACCCCTCTTCCTCTGGACCACAGACTCTCCGCTCCAGTTCCTGAGGAGTCGGTAGATCCCAGTGGTCCTTACGCTGAGCTAGTGGGTTGCCTCATGTACCTGATGACTTGCACTCGCCCAGATCTCGCATACCCTCTCAGCATCTTGGCTCGTTTTGTGGCCACAGGCAGACACCGACCTCAGCACTGGTCTGCCGCTAAGAGGGTTTTGCGTTATCTTGTAAGTACATCGGGCATGGGGTTAGTGCTAGGCGGACGCAGGCCAGTGGTCCTTACTGGACACACAGACGCTTCTTGGGCAGACGACGCCGAGACGCTCAGGTCTTCCCAGGGCTACTGCTTTAGCCTTGGCTCAGGTGCTGTCTCGTGGAGAGCTACCCGCTCCTCGTCGGTTGCCCAGTCCAGCTGTGAGGCTGAGATCTACGCCGGTGCCATGGCGGCACAGGAGCTCCGCTGGCTGACCTTCTTGCTCACTGACTTAGGTGAGCGGCCTAGCTCTGCCCCGGTCCTGTACGCTGACAATAGGGCCATGATTCTCCTGTGTCAGGAGCCTCGACTCGAGGGCAGAGCGAAGCACATCCAGCTGCGGTACTTCCTCCTGCGCGAGCTACAGCAGCGGCGCCAGGCTCGCGTAGTACACTTGGCCTCCGGTGCCAACACAGCTGATATCTTTACGAAGGCGCTTGCGCCTCAAGATCATCAGCGGCACTGTTTACAGCTTGGTCTGGTTCCTGTAGTCTCTCACTTACTCGGGCCTTGACTTTGTACTGTCGTATATATATATATGTATACACTCAGACTGGACTTGTGTCCTCTCACAGTGGTTGGACTAGTAGTGCCGCCCTGTACTCGTTCTTGCCTTGTCTGTACTCCTTCTGACTGGTCTTTTAGACCCTTGTCTCAGAGGCTGGACTAGTAGTGCCACCCTGAGCTACTTGTCTAGAACATTCCCCTATGCAGTCCAGGGGGTGTGTCAAACATGTGTAGTTATCATGTTTGTATAGACTGTATAGGGTCACCTTCTAGAGAGTACAACATTTAGGTATATGTTTGTGTACTCTCTCTCTCACATCGCGCCCCTCCTGGGCCTCTAGGTTTGATAATTGTTCCATCCGCCGCACTTATCGACGCGATGGAGCACTTTGGACATTTCGGATTCATATTTTGGAGTTGCATCGAACAGTTAACTAAATTCTTAAAATTTACTGTTCATATTAATGCTCCGAAATGTGAAACCGATTTTATAGGGTTGCTACGCAACCCAAAAAATCATCATCCTATTGAACATTCTGAATAAGCTGGAAATCAGTTACGATTATCATACACTTTATGATTGGAGGTTCGCTTCCGCTTCACCACCCCCAACCCCGCTACAAGCACGACACCAACCAGCCTAGCTGCTGTCCCCACCCTCGAGTGGGATTTGCTGCCAATTCCGACAACCCAACCATTTCCACCATCCTCCCGCCACTCCCGCCCGCGCACCACCCCATCGCCATACCCGCCGCGCCTTCAATCCCGCTACTGCGGGCGCCGTTCCCGCGCCCGCTGCGCGCCGCCACCTGACGTCTTCCGTCAGACAAGCGCCGTCAGAATCCGACGGAAGACGCCGCTCCGTCAACCGGCGCGGCGATGGCGCCTGGGGGGTTCGCGGCGATGGAGATCGACGGGGAGAGCTCGCGCGCGGCCCCCGCGGGGCGGCGCGAGATTTGGGCGTGGTACGGCTACGACGCGGCGGTCGCCGCCTTTTATTCCGCCGCGCTCCCCATCTTCTTCCCGCTGCTGCTCGTCGCGCTCGGGTCCGAGTTCGCGTGGCAGCAGTCCGGGTCGCAGCAGCCCCCCGCGTGCGGCGGGGAGGTCACGAGCGACTGCCTGCAGTGCGTGCCGGGGAAAGGCACGCAGCTGCTGACGTCAGCGGGGTAAGGAATTGGGAAGCAGGGGAGCGGGTGAGGGCGAGCGAGGTGGGGGGCGAGAGGGCGTGCGGTTTCCCTCCCCCGCGCGTGGAACTCATTGGAGTGATGGGTGCGGGCGCTGGCATGAGCGCCGTGAGGGTGGGCGTTGGTGAGGTAGGCCAGGGGGGGGTTGAGTCACGAGGTGGTGGGCGGGCCTGGCTGGCGCTGCACGGAGAATGAGCGCAAGGGGCATTGCAGCGGAATCATGGTTGGAGGGACATGAGCGGGCTGCCTCTGTTGAAGCACCCGGTTGACCTGGACGCGTGCGCCGCTGGGCCGCTTTCCCCCCAGCACCCGCAGCATCGCGCTGCGTCTCTTTGATGGTAGGACCGTCGATCCCTGTGACAATAGAATGATACTTCTCTCACTCCGCTTCCCACGCGTCTCTTTAGATTCGCAACAGCCCTCTCTCGCTCGCACCCCACATGTCAACAGAGGCACCACACCACCTGCCAACACCCCTGGTGGGCCACAGCAGCAGCAACCCCCTGTCATTCGCTACAGCCCTCCCCCCGCAACCACTCGCCCCCCACATGCCGCTGCACTGAAGTGCAGCACCCAGGCGGGCTGCCCCCCATTGGGAGGCACCGGAATCAACCGCGTGTTGTCCGCCACGGCCGTGCCGGGCGTGTCCGTCATCTTCAACACCCCTCCCTTCACGACCATGCTGGGCCTGTCGGAAAACTGGACCCCCTTCTCCCCCCCCACCACTCCCCCTACATCCCCCCCTGCTCCCACCTTATCCCCTCAGCTACACCGAGGCTCCGCTCCCAGACATCCCTCTGGCAGGCGGCGCGAGCATCAACCCGGTGTCGTTCGCGACGGCCATGCTGGGCGTGTCCGTGATCTTCGAAGTCGTTGCTTTCGTCAGCGTGGGACCGCTGGCAGACTTTGGGAGAGGCAGGAAGGAGGTGAGACTGGGCAAAGGGAGGAGAGGATGGGCAAAGGGAGGAGAGGATGGGCAAAGGGAGGAGAGGATAGGCAAAGGGAGGAGAGGATGGGCAAAGGGAGGAGAGGATAGGCAAAGGGAGGAGAGGATGGGCAAAGGGAGGAGAGGATGGGCGATGGGGAGAGGGGAAGGGGGGATCGGGGGGTTGAGAAGCAGGAAGTATTTGAAAGGGGGTGGGAGGAAAGGGTGTGCGGGAAGAAGGGGATGGGAAGGTGGCGGTGAGGCTGGGAATGAGGCACGACCGCTGCCGTCCCCTGCTGTCTTCCCTGTCGCTCTGTGCTGTCCCCACCATATCATGCCATGCCATGCCATGCCATTCCGTACCGTACCGATGCCATGCCATACAGTGTGTGGTCTGTCATGGTGTACCATCACGACCTCCGCAGTGGCAGGGGGAGCATGCCTGCACCACAGGTTTCTTCGGTTCTGCACGCAGTTAGTCTAGCCCATTCTATCTCTCTTTCCCTTTTCTCGCAGCGTACTCGCTTTCCTGCACCCCTCCCAGCTGCTGCAAGTGGGCTCACATATATCGCCGCCACTGTTTCGTCCGATGCCTCACTCTCGCTCCTCGCTCGTCGCCCACTACCAGTCCACATTCCTCCCTCCCCTGGCAGCTGCTGCAAGTGTGCGCGCACATGGGGGCAGGGGCGTGCCTGCTCTGCCTGGCCTGCTGGATCCCCCATTCTTCCTGCCATGCCCGTTTCATCGCCCCTCCAACCCCCCCCCAGCTGCTGCAAGTGGGCACGTACATGGGGGCAGCAGCCTGCGTGCTGTGCCTGGCCCTCGCCTCGCCGGCGCTCTGGTGGCTCGCAGCGCTGCTGCTCATCCTCGCCAACGTGGGCTACGGCATCGCCACCGTCGCATATTACAGGTAACCTCCTATGCTTGACGTGCCTAAAACATTTACCCGCCTCTGCTTCCCCCTGGTTGCTTGCAGCCCTGCTGCCAATCGTATCCACTGTGGGCTACGGCATGGCCGCCGTTGCCTACTACAGGTGAGTGCAACACGAATACTCCACTCACTCACCCCAAATGCCCTAGTTGCTCACAACGCCCGCCCTCTCTTAGCTGCTCCCACAATCAACCCCAGCGGCCCATCCTCCGCCGCTCTTCTCCCTCCCATCCTCTTCTCCCCCATGCTGCTGGACGCGTCTCCTGACGTGCCACACTCTCCACCTCTTCTCCCCTCCCCATTCCAACCCTCCCACCTTATCCCCCTCTTCTCCCCCCCTCTCCCTCCTGTGCGTGTCCCCCAGCTACCTGGCGGTGCTGGTGGACGCGTCGCCCGAGGTGCAGCAGGCAGAGGCGGCGGGGCTGCCCGTGCAGGCCGTGGTGGAGATGCGCGAGCAGGTGGGGGGGAGGAGGGGGACATGCGGTGATGCCACGGGGTGATGTCATGGGGTGATATTATGGGGTGAGGGGAGGTTCAAGCACATGGAGTGAGGTGGCATGGCTCCATGCCAGTGCAGGCAGTGGTGGAGATGAGAGAGCAGGTGGGGTGACAGCAGGTGGAGTCCCCTGTGGCATCGCATGTCCTGTGGGTCATCGTGTTTCTGCTGTGTCATCGCATGCGCCCATCCATGATCCTCAACCCCACCGCTCGCACTGCCATCCCATCACCAGGTGGAGAACCGTCTGTCCCTCACAGCGGTGGCGTGTGCCAGCGTGGCGTCCATCGTGGTCACGCTGCTCGCCCTCGCCGCCACGCTCCTCTCCTCCTCGCCCGACCTCAAACTCCGCCTTGCGCTCTTCCTCTGCGGCGCCTGGTGGCTGCTCCTCGCGCTGCCCACCTTCGTCTTCCTCAAGGCCCGCCCTGGCCCCGCGCTCCCCCCAGGCTCTCCCTTCCGCCTGCTCTCCGGCTGGCACCACCTTGCTGCTCTGCTCTCAGAAGCCCGCCGCTACCGCAACGCGTTCGCATTTCTCGTGTGCTACTTCGTGTACGCAGACGGGTACACCACCATCATGCAGATCGGGGTGCTGTTCGGCCAGCGAAACCTCTGCCTCTCCACGCCTGCCACTGTCCTCCTCGCCTGCTGCGTCTTCCTCTTCGCTGTGGCCGGCACGCCGCTTGCCTTCTGGCTGCAGCGCGCCACCAACCTGCACAACAAGGCCATGGTGTGCCTGCTTATAGCGGGGATGCTGCCGCTGCCCCTCTGGGGGCTTATCGGCTACCTCACCCCGGACGGGGGCTTCGGGCTCAAGTCCACGTGGGAGCTGTACGTGTTTGCAGGGTGGTTCGGGGTGCTGCTGGGGCCGCTGTCGTCGTACTCGCGCACGCTCTTCATCGACATGATCCCAGTGGGCCGCGAGGGCGCCTTCTTCTCGCTCTACTCTGTCAGCGACAAGGGCTCCTCGTGGCTCGGGCCCTTCATTGTGGCCGTCATTGTGCAGGTGGGCGTGGGGATGGGTGTGGGGGTGTGTGTACAGGTGTGTGTATGTCGGTGGGTGTGTGGTTGTGTGTATGTGGGGATGTGCGGGGGGGAGGGGTGCGTGTGTGTGTGTGAAAAGGTGTGCTTGTGTCTGTGTCTGTGTGTGTGTGTGTGTGAGTGTGTGTGTGGAGGTGTATGTGGGTGGGTGTGTGTGTGGTGGTGTGTGAGGGTGGGGGGTATGTGTGTGTGTGTGTGGTTGTGTGTGTGGTGGAGTGTGTCGGGTGGGGGAGTGTGGGCGTGTGTGTGTGTGGTTGTGAGTGTGGTGGTGTGTGTGGGGTGGAGGGGTGTGGGTGTGTGTGTGTGGTGTGTGTGGTGATGTGTGTGGGATGGTGGGGTGTGGGTGTGTGTGTGTGGTGGTTTGTGTGGGGTGGGGGGGTGTGGGGTGTGTGTGTCCTGCTGACCTCTCACATCCCACCTCCCTCTCACATGCCAACTCCCTCTCACATGCCAACTCCCTCTCACATGCCAACTCCCTCTCACCATGCCAAATCCCTCTCACATGCCAACTCCCTCTCACATGCCAACTCCCTCTCACATGCCACCTCCCTCTCACAATGCCAACTCCCTCTCACATGCCAACTCCCCTCTCACATGCCAACTCCCTCTCACATGCCAACTCCCTCTAACGTGCCAACTCCCTCTCACGTGCCAATTCCCTCTCACATGCCAACTCCCTCTCACATGCCACCCTCCCTCTCACATGCCAACTCCCTCTCACATGCCAACTCCCTCTCACATGCCAACTCCGCTCTCACATGCCAACTCCCTCTCACATGCCAACTCCCTCTCACATGCCAACTCCCTCTCACATGCCAACTCCCTCTCACGTGCCAACTCCCTCTCACGTGCCAACTCCCTCTCACATGCCAACTCCCTCTCACATCCCACCTCCCTCTCAGATGCCAACTCCGCCAACTCCCTCTCACATGCCAACTCCCTCTCACATCCCAACTCCCTCTCACATGCCAACTCCCTCTCACATGCCAACTCCCTCTCACGTGCCAACTCCCTCTCACATGCCAACTCCCTCTCACATGCCACCTCCCTCTCACATGCCAACTCCCTCTCACATGCCAACTCCCTCTCACATGCCAACTCCCTCTCACGTGCCAACTCCCTCTCACATGCCAACTCCCTCTCACATGCCAACTCCCTCTCACGTGCCAACTCCCTCTCACGTGCCAACTCCCTCTCACATGCCAACTCCCTCTCACATCCCACCTCCCTCTCAGATGCCAACTCCCTCTCACATGCCAACTCCCTCTCACATGCCAACTCCCTCTCACATGCCAACTCCCTCACATGCCAACTCCCTCTCACATGCCAACTCCCTCTCACATGCCAACTCCCTCTCACATGCCAACTCCCTCTCACATGCCAACTCCCTCTCACATGCCACCTCCCTCTCACATGCCAACTCCCTCTCACATGCCAACTCCCTCTCACATGCCAACTCCCTCTCACATGCCAACTCCCTCTAACGTGCCAACTCCCTCTCACGTGCCAATTCCCTCTCACATGCCAACTCCCTCTCACATGCCACCTCCCTCTCACATGCCAACTCCCTCTCACATGCCAACTCCCTCTCACATGCCAACTCCCTCTCACATGCCAACTCCCTCTCACATGCCAACTCCCTCTCACATGCCAACTCCCTCTCACATGCCAACTCCCTCTCACGTGCCAACTCCCTCTCACGTGCCAACTCCCTCTCACATGCCAACTCCCTCTCACATCCCACCTCCCTCTCAGATGCCAACTCCCTCTCACATGCCAACTCCCTCTCACATGCCAATCCCTCTCACATCCCAACTCCCTCTCACATGCCAACTCCCTCTCACATGCCAACTCCTCTCACATGCCAACTCCCTCTCACGTGCCAACTCC